CCGAACTTTAGACTACCTGATTTGTCTATTATAAATGCTTCCCATTTGAAAAGTATTATAGCCTCGACATTTTCGTATTAGGATTTTCGTCTTACTTTTTGCTCAGAAATACACTATTAAAATTTCGGTCACGAGTTGCGGTACACCCTATATGTATACATACATTTGTTGTATATATAAATATACAATTGTGCTAGAAGAATTACTTTTTAAAGATAATATAAATATTATATACATCTTATATACATCTTATATACATATATAATACATATATAACGCATATATTTCCAGCGTCACTTATAAATTTTCTAATTTTTTATGAGTTCTTGGAAAGTTAGAAATTTGTTTTATAAGAATTTTAAGGACTTGTGTGTGCATAATATTGGGAATATCAGGAATTAAAAAGCTACAATTGTCTTGTATTCTAACACAAAGAATTATTCCAAAGTGTCACCGATGCCAAAAATCTCATGGTTCACGCGGGTACAATCTATTTAAATGAGACGGGTGATGCTTATCAAGCGGAGAGCGTGACGTGGCACACTGGTTTCGACAATGTCAAACTTAATCACGACGTCGGTCTCATTCGATTAAACAGAGATATCGTATACACCAACGTGATAAAACCCATTCCGCTTGCACAGAAGGATATCGCTGTCGCAGGCCTTCCTTGCGTTGTATCCGGTTGGGGCAGAACTTCGGTAAGTTTTGAATTAAAAAAACTTTAATATTACCTTAGAGACAAAAACAAGATATACGATCGATATATTTGATCACCAAATAAAATACCAATAAGGTTCACCACAAAAATTTGTTAATCTTTGTTTCTAGGGTGCAATGTTCTATACTAACTAATTGTAGTCTTTTAAGCTTCTTCGAATCTGTAATGATATATGTTCATAATAATATATAAATAATATTATGCTTATACGTAAAATTATGCAATTATTATTCAGTATCGTATCTTATATAGTAGTCAGTTTTCTCTTATTTTTCGCATTTTTAGAAGATTCTAAAAAATTTAACGTCATTATAACCATATATTAATCATATATGACGTTTATGACTCACTCTTGACTTTTATCAGGTCATTAATTAATTATAACAGCGAATTGTCTATTCATCAACACAAAACATTCTTTCAGCTTAATGGACCTACACCTAACACCTTACAAGAGATCGCTCTGAAAGTTTACTCTCCCGAGAAATGTAAGCTTTCGTCTTGGAGAGTAACTGACAATCATGTCTGCACTCTCACACAAGCTGGCGAGGGAGTGTGCTATGTAAGATACACAAGTTTATTATTAACTTTAAGTAAACGGTTGTTAATTTATGGTTATGGTTTATGTATCAGCAAAGGAAAACAATTGTAAATGAATTAGTTTGATTATAATAATTTCTCATAATGTTGCAGGGTGATTCAGGTAGCGCTCTACTTGCCGAGGGCGTTCAGATTGGAATCGCATCTTTTGTAGTTCCATGTGCTGTAGGAGAACCCGACAAGTTTGTTAAGGTATCCGCGTATCAAGATTGGATCAAAGAACACATGACTGACAATTAAATAAAATTTAATGTTTTCGTATTGTTATTATATATGATACATTCTGTATAAATCTCAAATAAATTTTTGCATGTAATACGAAATGTATTACACGTTACAGGATTAATATACTTCAATATTTTTTTATTATTATTCCTTTTATCTTATTATAATTTACGTGATATATTGTTTTGCGTTGTAGATCAGGTGTATTAATGTAGCCAAACTATTATAATCCGAAAGAATATAGATAGGGTTATAAAATCATGTTTTGTTTTTAATATCTATTATATCTCTAATAATAATAAAGATATAGAATGATATATTTTTATAAGAAATATATTATATTAGTTTAAAACACGTAATGCAAAAACTGAAGATACTTATCTTTATAAAAATTTTATTTGGAAAACGTAGCAAAGTATATACGTACATATAAATAATAATATAAATATATACATATATAGCTTGACCTACAATCCACATAAGAAAAACTTGTGTATCAATGGAATGCAATCCAAATCGTGGATATATTATTACTATATTCAAATAATTAATTATTGAAAGATGAAATAATATATTTAATATATAAGGTATTAATTATGTAATATATAAATATTTATATATAGAAATTTTCAAACATTAAAGCAACACACAGTTTACTCATTGTTTATCATTCATAACTTATTTGCTAGCTTTGATAAGTACCTAATTTTCTGATAGTTTCGTTAATTACATTATCATTAAATTGCGTAAAATAAACAAGATACATGAATCTCATGATATTATCATATATTTTGTAAATCCTTGCTTTTGAAACAGCTCAATGAGTAATGGTTTTACGCCGTGATTTTTAGATTATTGTATCGATTGCATCACGTATTAAAGATAAAGATTACAAAATAAATTTTCAATTGGCGATAGCGATCTTCGCAGAAAAACAATTCGATCTCACGTTTAATCGCTTAGCATAAGTTATCGAAATCATTTCGAATTTAATGATTAAATCTGTCGGATTACACAGATTTCATGTTTACATAGCACACATATAAATATTCTAAAATATGTTGTACTGGTGAAGTGCTCAAAACGGTCTATATAAACGTACGATGGAGCTTCATTATTACCAGTGTCGCGCTGTTAACATGCACGCGTTCTTTGCCTTGATAGTCGCCTGCCTGGCGGTAGCCGCTCATGGTAAGCAAGAACAAATATAATCAATTTCAATTATTTCAAGGCCCAAAAAAGGGTCGAAACGTTTATGCTATTAAAGAGAAATTTTTGATTTTATATTGTGAGAACCGAGTTCCGTTCTTTTTGTGGCTCACATTGGCACTTTCTCCTTTCTATACATATAATTTATATTTTACTTATAGAAATTTTTTAAATATTTTTTAATTAATATTTTTCAAAATAAAATTACATTAATTATATTTTAATTTAGAATTTGTGTTTGTGTGTGTGTATGTGTGTGTGCGCGTGTGCGTGCGTGTCAAGAATAATAGAATAGCGTGGAAATGAATCATTTTAACATAATAATTGCCATATGGACATATATTTATTAATAGTAATAATCTATGACTAGAATAGATTATAATAACAGTCATAATTATTTATGTCTTTAAAAGCTAAAAAACAGAAATATGTATCATAAATCTGATTTGTACATTCGGTTTTATTGTATCATGTTAAATAGGCTACCCAAATCCTCATATTGTTGGTGGAAAAGATGCTCCGGTCGGCAAATTTCCGTATCAGGTATCTTTGAGAAAAAATGGACGTCACTCCTGCGGCGGATCCATCATCAATGAACATACCATTCTCACTGCTGCTCACTGTATAATAAGGTACGTACTTTATTCTTATTTTATATTATTTATACACGCGTATGTAATAAGATTTTTATCGCATTAAGAAAAAAATATTTAAAATTATCTGACAAGGGAAAATCGTAATCGACCAAAACGTATTTCATTAACAGCTACGAAGGAAATCCAGGAGCTCTGAAATCGCTAACTATTCACGCTGGCACAAATCTGTTAAGCGAGACTGGTACCATTTACACAGCGAAAAAAGCCATCGTTCACAATTTCAATGCTGTTAGATTAGTTAATGACATCGGTTTACTTATTCTGTCAACTCCTATCAAATACACTAAATATATACAGCCCATAACACTTGCAACTACCGATGTTGCCCCTGCGGGCTCTGCCTGCACCTTATCCGGATGGGGAAGAACCTCGGTAAGTATCAAATGGAAATTATAGCCATTGACAAAATTATTAGGCACCCTCCTAATCATTATACTGTACTGAATCTAATACCTGGACTGTTTTTTTAAATTGTTTAGCAAAACGTTCATTGCTTCTATACAGTAAACAACCTTTAAACAATATAAAAATCTTTCTAGTATTAGATTCAGTACAGTGTACGTTGGAAATCTAAGTGTCACTTTTATACACATATATGTGTAATTTGCTGAAACACTTTTTATACGCTTCTTTCCGTTTAAAATCACAACATATGATACTTGACATACGTTATTTTACACATTTCTTATCATTTAAAAAGATTCTTTTTAAACGGCAAGAAATGTGTAAATGACGTTTATCAAGTCGCGTGTCGCGATTTTAAACAGAAGAAAGTGTGCAACAAGCGCTCTACCAAATTACACATATATGCGTATAAAAGTAGCATACTTAGATTTGCAGTATAATAATCAGGAGGGTACCTAATAATTTTGTCCAAAAGCAGCCTCGTCTTCATTTAATATTTATCGATATTTATGTATAAAGTTTAGTAATATATACACATATATGTATGTATGAGAGTTTAAGAAATAATTACTTTATTCTCACGTTAAACATAATTCAAAATGAATAGAAAAAGATCTTGGATATATTAGTAGCGTAGTCTTTTTATCTTGTTAAACTTCTTAATTTTTTCGAATCTACATAAAATTTGACAAACACACATATATGCAAAAGTGTATATTTGTATCATTATATTTAATTTGTATCATATTATATTTGTATCATTATATTTAAAAAAAACTTTTATAGTCCATGAATTTATAGAAAATATTTTCTTTATTTTTAGTTTGGCGGTATCGTTCCAAACAACTTACAAGAGATTGAGTTAAGCGTTTACAGCCAAGCAAAATGCAAACAAACGCACTGGAATGTACAATCTAGCCACATTTGTACGCTTACGAAAGTAGGTGAAGGCGCATGCCATGTAAGTATTGAAATTAACATTTTATTATCTAAAATTAAACTGCATAAACATGTAATAAGCGAGAAAAAAATACCCCTATATCCAATTTATTTCTTTGACATAAATACACGGAGATTTTAGAAATTTTAATATAGATTATTAATAAAATATCAAAAATATATATTCAATTTATTTATATATTGAGGAGATTATTTAAATATAATATAAATAGGCATCGGCAAAATTTAAAGCTGGACCAAGCAATATCTCATGCTTTTATTACATGGCAATAATTAAATATGACGAATTAATTAAATGAAATTTTCATTTAGCAAATATCTAATCGTTCTTTTTGTTAAATTTTCAGGGTGATTCCGGTGGCCCTCTCGTTGCTAAAGGTGTTCAAATTGGTATTGTTTCCTTTGGTAGACCATGCGCTCTTGGAGCTCCCGATGTATTCACGAGAGTATCCGCTTTCGAGGATTGGATCCAAAAGCATGTTGAATAATAGGATAAAACGAGATATCTTAACCACACACATTATTATTTAAATACATTGATATTTTTTATACATACATATACGTATCTCATATATGTATATTCCATAGGATTTGTCATGAAGCGTTCAACAAGTTTAAAATATGATAAATAGTAACTATAATTGTGTGTGCGTATGGAAGAGCGGATTTGAAATAATTTTCTGATAATTACTGAATATGTAAATAATTATTATCCGCGCGTCTTGTATTAAACTAAATATACAATATGCCTGTTTAAATATGTGATTATTTAAATATACATATTATTTAAATAAAATCTTATTTCATACTTTGGCTGCCAAGATGATTTCGGTGTGAACTTTAAAAGATCTAATATTGAGAAGTACGCGACTATTTATAACACAGACAGATTACCAAATAAACTATATCAAAAATATAATATATAGAAGAAAGTCCCCTATTATGAGATAAGCTCCCAATATGGGATAGGATAATTTCTCGTAAATTAATAGGCATCATCTATTAATTTTATCGTGAATTTATTTCCCTTGGAGTGAAATCTGTTTAGTGGAAAATTCATTGTTAAGTCGTGCGTTATAAATAAAGATTTATAACCAAATTGTGACGTTAAAAACCTGCTATCTTCTTATTCATTTATATTATTAAATATTTAATAATATAATTCCAGAATTAATAACAGTAAAACTGTCATATCTCTCGATGTTACATATGAAATATTTGGTACCTATGCATACAATAACATGAAATTCTTGCAATGTAAAATATATACATATTACATGTTTGGGATAAAAAATATCCTGAATGTATTTATTAACGATCTCTTAAAAGTAAGTTAGATCTACAAAACTTGCAAGTAAATTTCAAGTAAAAACTTCCATCTTATTATGTGCATCCGATTGCAAATGTAATTATATTTAATAGTAATACATTGCAGTTATAATTTTATCTATCTTTTTAATTATGCAGTAATGTCCCCCTGTCCCTGCCTACTGGAATCCCTAATACCTATCCGTATTCCGCTGTATAGTCTTACCTATCCATTTTTCTACCTACCCGCGTTTCCACTTTTTGTTAATAAACTTGCAAATCTGTCGTTAAAACGACGCGATTTATAAGAGGTCCGATTTGGAGTTATACGCGCGCGATTTAATAGGGATTTAAAAGAAGTCTTTTTAATCTCGCACGTATGCGAGAATATGTAAAGAAGATAAGAATTTATAACCCACCCGAATTTTGACAAATAAGAAGAAATCAACTTATTTTACACATCACCTTACATATTCTATCAGAGTGGCCAATATTGACCACTTACCCCGTCGTATCCAGTCTTCTTTCGTTGGGCCAGATTGGACATATCTTTCGTTGCTCCTGGCCATACAGTCTGGTCATTTTGACCAGAGATCAGGAAGGAAGAAAACTCCTTCCATAGTCGGTTTATTATCGTCACCGACAGATATTTCGTACGGTTCGAATTATATGCGAGCGTCGACGTATCGAAATGCACGACCACGAGAAGTTTATCAAAAAAGAAAATTAAGTGAAAAAATTTGCTGTATAAAACACTTCAAATATATTTTTACTTCCGTTATTTATTGCAGAATAGATAATGACTGTCTCTTCGTGACTCAATCTTTAAATTCAAAGTTCAAGGATATATTATATGTATTTAGAAAAAAACAATTTACTTCGCGTTGTATTTATTTTAATTACATTCCGCGATAAATTTAAATTTATAATATCGATGAAATTAAGCAATTAATGATTTCTCGAAAATTTTTTGAAAAGTTGATCGCGAAGACCGACCGCGAAAATACGAAGATGCGTGTAATTATGCATGTATTCATGCGAGACGCATCTTAAAAGTGAATCGCGGGATACACATACAGAATAAATGACGTGAGATCCAGAGAAAAGAAATTTTCCGTACGATAGATAGACCGAAAATTGAACATTCTAGTTAATCAATAATCTCAAATAACGTATGAAAATAACATAAAGTTTCAGCGGTCTCAATAAAATATTCGAATCTCACGTCATGTTTTTGATTTTATATATAATACATATATAAATTTGCTACTGAAAAATGGATAGAATAGGTTACAAGAGATTAGCTTGACGAATGCATCAATAATATTCGTCATATTTTGCGTGAAAATATGTAACGTGCTGCAACGGAGCACTCAACCCTCTACAATGACAATCGCGTTCACTCCCATTCAATAGATGAAATATGTTAAAGTAAACTTGAAATTATGTCGTAATCTATCCATTTTAAGTAACGAATCTCCGGAATATATTAATCTATGATCTAAATACATTCTACGATCTACGAGATTCGTTACCTGAATAAAAAACTACTCACTCACCGATCCAATGCGCAGCAGCGGAGTTGTCTACGTTGATTCTGTAACACAAATATAGAATTCGTTAAAGCAGTGTTCAATGTGAAAACTAATATTGTAAAATATATTTGCAAAATATAGTTATCGCATAAATAATTCTTATGCGTATCAAACTTTATTCGATTAAATGTTTAAATGATTAACGCGCGAAAGATTCTTCGCAAAAGATCTTCACGAGAATAAACTTATAATATTTTTTATGGTTTCTTGTTCTCTAATTATTATTTCGAAATTATTGAATTATGAAAGAAAACGACTCAAAAATAAACTGGTAAAGATTACTTTTATACAAAATGAAAAATAACATTTACATCAAGTTGCTCCGCCGGCGCCCGATGCCTCTCCAAGGCCTCCTCCACTCATATTGTCCTCTGGCACGCTAGCGAAAACACAAAGATCGTTCGCGCGATTTTACACTTCCGTTTACGAAGTCCATATGAAAGAATGTATTTTGTTCCGTCAAGTTCGCCTCCACTTCAAGTCGACGAGTATTATATCCCAAAAATTGTCAATTCTCGAAAGTGTGGCCATCGACAGGAACGGACATTTTACGAATACTTGTTCCTCAAATGGGCTTTGAAAAGTCTTTGATTCGATTATTCAAACGGCACTCCCGAACGCGATGAAAACGGAAACTTCATGTTATACGCGCACTTATGTTATTCACTTATCGCATTTTCTCGTCGAATTACCGTATGTGATATTCATCTCGACGAATCACCGTAGAAATCAACGATATGATTACGGATCGCGACAATTACTTAAACGCGATTGATAAACGTTAACATCTCCCGTACGAGACGACCGAGATTCTCGTAGGAAATGATCGCGTTACGAGGAGCGACGCGAAGACACGCAAAACACCCGCCTCGCTCGACTGAATCGCGCCGAATGATAAATTGTTTTTCGACCGAGGGTATTTCACGGCGCTACGTCATTTCTTGGAACCCGTGCTCGGCCTTCGACCGAGTTGTTTACGGCGCTCGGCAAAACAAGGTCACGCCGTACGCAGGATCATTCATGCGGCGACAATTGAATGAGTCTATTATGCCCGCGCCGTTCTGCATATCGTATTATTCTTTCTTGATACGCGTTTGCGACAAGTACGGGAAGAAATCGCGATCGCTCTCTGCGAATAATTGATGATCGATATCATCGCGTGATCGCTGAATCCCCGCGATTTGCCATCTATGCTCGGTTAGCCAACAAGACAGACATCTAGCGCGATTCATACATGAGAGCTATACATCCAAGAATCAAAGCGCTAGCGAACTTGAAATTATTTCTTTATTGCGATAATTAATATTTATTAAATTTGTAACCTTTCAGTTGCTTGTTTTATTATTGGCCTTTATTCCTTTATAATAATTAATTAAATTGCAACTAAAGATATTGACATCTTACATTCATGTAAGAAATACTATATTTTACATAATTGTTTATTTCAAAAAGGATATATTTATTAAATATATGTGTAGCAATATTTATAGAAGTTTATGGGATCCTTGCGGAAATTCACGCCACACGTAAGTATACGAGTAGACATAGTAATCGAAATGTTTAATATAAAACGATATTACATTAAGAATATAATACGACATTACATTTGGTATTTATCTTTATAAGATGCAAACAAATTTTATTCGAGATTTTATTAAAGATTTATTTCTTATTTAAAGTTTCTTTTCTTATTTGTTAGTTATAAATCTGTTTGGTTTTGGCCGTATAGATTTGCAGCTCTTTACTACAAAATTTACATCGATTTCTAATAATGTAATACCCAATCTATTGGAGATATCGTAGACTTGAACGTCAGATATAGTAATCGATAAGAGGAAAGTCATCACTATCACCAGATAACTAGACATTAATCCTACTTCTTCTAAAAAGATTTATGGCGTGAAAAACGCAAATTGAATTAAAATTATTATTTTTATCAACTATAAATAACAATATTTTATCATACGATATCGCGTTGAGAAAAATTTATAGAAACGTCATAAGCACATACTTCAGAATCATATATAAATGCATCTATTCGCTTCAGTCCTAAGTAACAAGACTGCTATCAAAGATGCGTGTGTTAGCTTGCTTCGTAGTTGTCGCTCTGGCATATGCCGTTCAAGGTACGAATTCATAAATTATTATAAATAATAAAGAAATACATATAGAAATTGAGAAAGAGAGAGACAATCAGAAAGAGAAAAACAACAACGTGTCTTCCTGATATATGTATGTATAAAATAATAATATTCCAATATAAGTAACATTAATATCACAAATATTCGTTGTATGATATTTAGAACTTCTGTAAATATATTGTTATACATATATGTATTTTCAATATAAACATACATATTTTCAAAAATAATTAATTATATAAATTATAATATTTGTTACATAAATTTCAAAATATTAATAACTTCAGTGGCTAATTCATTAATTGTGTAATTAATGTAAACGATAAGTTTTTGCTAAAAACAAATTTTCTATTCTTAATCAATCTGTAACTATACCGAACAGCTTATGTGGCTGTATGCAGGCTTATAAGCTTGACATAAAATTTAATTGTTAACGTTAAAGGTGTATGTAGTAATAGGACAGACATTATTGTGCGTATGTGTTAACGTGATTAATTAATTTTTGTCAATAAGGAGCTCCATCTCCTCGTATCGTCGGCGGTAAAGATGCTCCTATCGGTAAATATCCGTATCAAGTTTCATTAAGATATAGCGGCTCGCATAGATGCGGTGGATCTATCCTGAATAACCGTAATGTGTTAACCGCAGCACATTGTGTCAAAGGGTACGTGAGACGTTCTAAATCTATATCAATATATTGTTAGTGGAACATAATTCCAAAACTTGTTTAACACGTTAAACAGACATAATATGTAAAACCTAGAATATACATATTTATATGCCTTTTTATTATTAGACTGGAAAATTCGCTGAATAACTTGAAGGTCCATGTCGGCACAAACTTTTTGAACGTATCAGGAGACGTTTATTCTGTAGCGAATGTTACCATCAACAAAGCCTACGACAGTTATTTGCTTATCAATGATGTCGCTTTGATCCACCTTAAAGCTCCTATTGTATACAACAAGCTAGTGCAACCAATAAGTATTTCGAAAAGTGATAAAGATCTTGAGGGCAAGCCATGCACGTTAACCGGTTGGGGAACTACAAGGGTAATATCGAACTATTCTGATAAAGTCTTCTAATATCTCTTACACATACCTAAGAACGAGCCACTCTTTTAGAATAACTCTTCATTTTCTCATTATACATGTTTAAGTGAAAAGAATGGTAATAATTATTTTCTGTTCGTCATTTACTTCAAGTCTCACTTATCTAATCACGGTTATTCTATTTAGGTTGGTGGAAGTGCTCCGAATAACTTGCAAGAAATTGAATTGTTAGTTTACCCGCAGAAAGAATGTGAAAAAGTACAATGGAGAGTGAAACCTTCTCATATCTGCACTTTCACTGAAGAAGGACAAGGGGCGTGCCACGTAAGCCGCCAATTATTAATATTAAACTAAATTCACACATATATATTTTTGATGCAACATTAGAAGATTGTTAATAATATAAACAATTGTATTTATAGCAAGCAAATTATATGCCGATTACAACTTCATCTCAGCACTGAAATAATTATAAGAATAATTTGTAATAATGAGCAATTTACTGCCATTTATAATATTAGTATTTTATTATTAATAATCGATACTTTTCATTTCCAGGGTGATTCCGGTGGACCTTTAGTGGCCAATGGAACTCAAATTGGAATCGTTTCCTTCGGTAATCCCTGCGCGCTTGGATATCCGGACGTCTACACAAGAGTATCCAGTTTTAGAACATGGATCATCACGAATATGAAGAATTAAAGGATATTAAATTTAATTTCTTTATTGAAATTGAAGTTATTTTGTCATACATGATTTATAATTTGGTTACTAATCCGACTTAAACAAATTTCTTCTGCAAAATGTATTTCCTGTATTATTTTTTTCAAGAGTTAAATAAATTACTAATACAAATAACAAAACAATAACAAAGTAATCTGTTTTATTTTTTCTGATATAGAAACCAATATTTTCATTTACTATTTTTATCCACGATAAATATTTTATTTACGTTATCACAAAATTTATAAATCTACATGATATTAAATTGTTATAATTACATTTGATGGATTCAACAAAGAAAAATCAATTAAAACAGAAATAAAAGAAAATCCAGTGGAGAAGAAAATAAAAAGAGATAAATATATAAATTTTAGTAAGTCTGGACACAATGCATTGAGTTAAATATTCACATGTAAATTTCACGATCAGTGAAATTGCCTTGTCTTATACAGATAAGATTCCGAATATTTCTAATTAAAATAACACTTATTTACGCTCATAATAACGCTCTCAAAACTCTATCTAATCGAAATTATCTAATCTTAGAAATCTTTATTGCATGTATATAATGAAGCGGCATTTTTTCTTCAACAGTAGTTAATCACTTACAATGCACACACTCTTTGCTCTGTTGATCGCTTGTTTGGCGGCAGTCAGTCATGGTAAGTCATAGAAAGTACAAAGTAAAACGTTTCGACGTATAAAAATATTACTTAATAATAAAACCGATTTGTTCTAAACTCAAAATGAAAATATGAAAACAATTCCTAATTTTATTTATGGTACTATAAATCATGACGTAATTGATATAAATTTTGTGTAACTCTATGAATAAAAGAATTATTTTACCAGCATTTATATCGGGATTATATATCGCCTATATTTATATCCTCTATTGTTAATTCTGCAATAATAACTCACGGTCAATTGTATTTGTAAAAATTGTGTAAACGTGCATATTAACATAATTATTAAAATTTTATACAATGAAGTATAAAAGATCAAATAAATACAGCAAATTATATAATTATATACATATATACATATTTTTTAAATAACGTTATCTTTTAATTTCGCAACGACATACTTGTAAAGTATAATAGCGTCGTTTCTTTAAATTTCCGATTGGTTTATGTACTCTCTTTTTAAATCTATAGTCTTATACACCTTTCAATTGAGATTATTATATTGTAGCACATTTTAACAACTCCTGTAATTTTTTCATAGAAATAGAAAAATGAACTGCAATATAAAAGTTATCAATAACACTTATTTCTATTCCTTATATTATTTTATTAAAAATTTCAAATATATTGAGATAAAAAATAATTTGAATAAAGAAATATTATCGTAGATATTGTTTCAACTGAGAAATTCTTGAAAGTAGATGTATGATTTGAATACAAGTTAAAAAAATATTTAACTAAAAGTTTATCGTGCAGTAATTATGTATCAATTAAAAATCTTTTCAGCCGTGGATCCGCACATTGTCGGTGGGACTGACGCTGAAGTCGGAGCACACCCTTATATGGTGTCTCTGAGAAAAAAAAACAGTCATTTCTGTGGCGGATCTATTATCACTAAACGTTACATTCTCACTGCGGCTCATTGTCTTATGCAGTATGTATCACATTTGCATAAAATACTTAAAATAAATTGTTTTAATTTCTGCTTGATCTCTTCAATATTTGACTTTGTCGATGTTTGATTATTTGAATTTTTAAACTTTCCATTTTTTTTTAATTTTGCGACCCAATCAGTTTAATCGGTAAACTTATTGTGAATTACTTTTACAACAATTATTAAAAAATAAGAAAAGTAAATGTAGACGGGAAGTCTAAATGTAGATGAGGAATTTATATATTTATGTACCTAAAAATCTTCCAAAGTAAAATTGGAAAGTCCCAAAATTAATTCATTGATATTAATTCATTGAATTTAATTCAAGCAACTGCAGTCTAATGTTAAATTGTACAATGGTTATAATTTATTAATTTTTGCAGATTTAACAATCCCGATGATCTCAAAGACGTAACAGTGCACGCTGGCACGAACCTTTTGAGTGAAGCCGGTTATGTTTACAAGCCTGAAGCAGCCATTCTTCACCCTGATTTTAATCTGCTTTTAATTCGCAATGATATTGGCTTGCTCCGTCTAAAAACTGATATAGAATTCAATAAATTGGTGCAACCAATCCCGTTTGCAAAGGCGAATTCCGTTCTGGTTGGCGATCCTTGCTTCCTGACAGGATGGGGAACACTAAAGGTAAAGGGAATGGCATTTTAAACAAACATTATCTTAATAAATAATCCAGATATCTTTTTCGTCTTTTTATGAAATAGTACATAGATATTTTATAAAATATTGCTTGCAATAGCCATATTACGTCTAAATATCGGATATAAAATTTTTCAAAAAATTGATATCAATTTCTGCGTAAATTTAATATCTTTCCATTTTTCTTCACGCGCGATTCTCACTTCTTCGATTATTTTCACAGTTCTTAGGCAAAGTACCTGATAAGCTTCAAAAACTCAATCTGAAAGTTTACTCGCAAATAAAGTGCAAACTTACATTTTTTAATGTGGTGTCTAGTCACATTTGCGCATTTTCACAATATGGCCAAGGAGCATGTCATGTGAGTACATACATATAACTGATCTTAATTAAAAATATAATTAATTATTAATTACAATTAAATATATAAATAATTTATTAATTTTAATGTTTTACAAACATATGCAGTTATTAATAATGACTGATTGTGCTTCTAAAATTCAATGAACCAGTGATAAATCAGTTAATTTATTTTGTTCTTCCTATCTTTCCATGAGTATTAAAATTTTATATTATACAAAATTCTCGTGTGTGCGCGTACGCAAACGTGAATGTATATGTCTTTCTTCATAAATTCTATACTTTAAAAGCATAGAGTAGGAATTATTAACATAATAGATAGAAGCCAACGCTCGTTATAAGCAAAGCCATGTAAAAGGGTTAACGATCAAACTACGAGAAAAATAAGGATGTTGGTTCAAAAGAATTATTCTTTTCTGGCATTAAATATTGTACCATCTCTAACAAATATTTTTTTAGGGTGATTCCGGTAGTGCACTCGTTTCTAATGGTGTTCAAATCGGCCTCGCCTCATTCGTTAACCCATGCGCTGTCGGATCTCCGGATGTGTATACCAGAGTATCCTCTTTCACGAATTGGCTCGCTCAGTATATTAGTACAGAATAATGAAATATAACAAAATTAAGTTATTTTATTACTACTGGAATTAATTATTTTCCGTTTTAAGAAACTTCTCAATATTTTTTGTCCGAATTAATTTTTATAATACGTTATTTTTACAATACGTTATTAAATAATAAATCAGATTCAATGTCACACAAATATCTTTTAATCTCGTAAATGTATCTGTTAAACTCATTATTAAAAATAGAGTGCTGTATAATAGATTTGTGATGACTAAAATTATTGTACATGGACCATTACTATTGTACAAAAGACAAATAAAATTTATGAAGCATTCATCAGGTTGATTATTTCCATTAAATTAGTTAATATTTTGCCAAGAGTTTATAATAATAAATGAAACAATTTATAGTAAAAATCTAATAATTTTTTTAGATCCAATCTAAACATTATTTTTCTAAAATAATATTTGCTAGTTTACGCTATAATAGTGTACTGCTATCTTTTATAATAAAAAAATAAAATATAAACATGATCGAAATACAATAGAAACAAGCCAACTATAAATGTCAAAACTTCTGCTAGATACTCAATGTAAATGCATTTCAAAAAATTTAAAATTAAAGTAAATAAAATACTAGTTTTTCTAAAACATTTAATGGTGTAATTTTTTTACAAAATTTACTATTTTCTATTGTCTTATTATTCGAGCACAATTGAATTTATGAACAAATTTATCTCATACATATAGTATTCAGTTCAGTTAATATAATATACAGGGT